AAAAAAAAAAAAAAAGAAAGAGGAGACATTTGAGTATCTGTGCCTGTCACCCGGGCACAATTTGTCTTGCCTCTGAATGGTGGGTTAACACGCACAAAAAAAGTTTTTAACACATTTTTTTTGTGTGTGTTAACCTACATTTGACCATGTCTTATTTATTCCTGGTACCTAGAAGATACGTAATAAATGTTTGACCTGAATTGATAATTTTACTCCCAATTCTAAGTGTCATAATAAATAAGAAATTCCTAGCAATCTTCTTCAACCATGGGATCTCAGATAGACTGAGAGAAAGGTAGTTTTAGTGATCTCTGGAAAGCTGTAACTTCAACACTTCACCTTGTCCAGGGACCCACCATCCCCAGGGTAATAGTACTGGTCCATATTTGGAAGCGATTGGGCAGGGCTCCTGGATCCTCATCCCAAGGGATCAGGGTGCCCTGATCTATATCTAGATGGACTTGCCAGTGAGCTCTCTGAGATCAAAGACCCTTTTGGCTCTTGAATGATGACTAGGCTAGTTTTGCAGTCACCTTGTAGCAGTATGCTGAAGCTTGTGGTCCCAAGTTCACTGAGATTGATTTCAACTAGCTCTGGACCTTGTCTGGGATTTTGGCTATCCATACAGGAAAGCTGGGGAAGTGAGAGGCCCTGGACAGCATTTTAAACAGGCAGGGTGGGAATGGTGCATTGGTGAAGCAGTGGAAACCATCCAGGAGAGTGAGGTTAGAGAAGTGGTTTGTTGTTATTTGTTAAAGGAGGGTGGTCCAACCCCGTAGGGGCCAGGAAAAGTCCGTGAGGGAGGCCTTGGGGAAGCAGCTTGCTGAGCCCTGGTGGATAATGGTGTTGGAGAGCAGGCCTCCGACACTCCACACCTCGGTCTCAGAAAAGATAAGTCAGAGCAACAAGAGGAATGATTTTAACATTTTAAAACATGGGACTTCAACTGGGTTAAGGGACCCAGGCAGAGTAGAGAGGAGAGTGACAGCCTGGTGCATGCTCCTGCCCTCTTTTTTTTTTGCAGTTTTTGGCTGGGGCTGGGCTGGAACCCACCACCTCCAGCACATGAGGCCAGCGCCCCACTCCTTGAACCATAGGCGCCACCCTGTTCCTGCCCTCTTTCGGTGTTGAAGAGCAGCATTAGACTGAGATCCAGGGAGATGTGGAGCTCAGACCCAGCCTCTCAGCTAGACCCTCCAATGAGCATTAGTTCTAAGTACCAAAGCCCTCCTCCCATTCAGGGACATAAGTCTTAATCAGACTAGGTTTATTAAGGAGGAGGGGCTGGCTCGGCGCCTATAGCTCAACTGGCTAAGGCGCCAGCCACCTACACCTAAGGTGGCGGGTTCGAATCCCCAGCCCGGACCCACCAAAACAACAATGACGGCTGCAACCAAAAAATAGCCGGGTGTTGTGGCGGGTGCCTGTGGTCCCAGCTACTTGGGAGGCGGAGGCAGGAGACTCGCTTGAGCCCAGGAGTTGGAGGTTGCTGTGAGCTGTAATGCCACGGCACTCTACCCAGGGAGACAGCTTGAGGCTCTGTCTCAAAAAAAAAAAAAAAAAAAAAGGAGGAGGGGCTAAGGATGATGGCTTGTTTCCCTTCAGAGGTGTCCCAGCTCTGCTGACTTGCCCTCTCTTCTGTTTGCATAGGTGTAGACGGGGCACTGCCTGCACAGCAGGTTCTGCCAGCCTCGCTGGAGAGGATGCCCTCGTGTCCGTGATGGGCTGTGGGACAAGTAAGGTCCTTCCTGAGCCACCCAAGGATGTCCAGCTGGATCTGGTTAAGAAGGTGGAGCCCCTTAGTGGCATTAAGAGTGATGTGTACAAGCACTTCATCACGGAGGTGGACAGTGTTGGCCCTCTCAAAGCTGGGTTCCCAGCAGCCAGTCAGTATGCATACCCCTGCCCCACTGCCCCTACTACTGGCTACACAGAGCCTCCCCCAGAGCCACCACGCAGAGCCAGGGTGGCTAAGTACAGGGCTAAGTTTGACCCACGTGTGACAGCTAAGTATGACATCAAGGCCCTGATTGGCCGAGGCAGCTTCAGCCGAGTGGTACGTGTTGAACACCGAGCCACCCGGCAGCCATATGCCATCAAGATGATCGAGACCAAGTACCGGGAGGGGCGGGAGGTGTGTGAGTCTGAGTTGCGCGTGTTACGCCGGGTACGTCATGCCAACATCATCCAGCTGGTGGAGGTGTTTGAGACACAGGAACGTGTATACATGGTCATGGAACTGGCCACAGGCGGAGAGCTCTTTGACCGTATCATTGCCAAGGGTTCCTTCACTGAGCGTGATGCCACACGGGTGCTGCAGATGGTGCTGGATGGTGTCCGGTATCTACATGCGCTGGGCATCACACACCGAGACCTCAAGCCTGAGAATCTGCTCTACTACCACCCAGGCACTGACTCTAAGATCATCATTACCGACTTTGGCCTGGCCAGTGCTCGAAAGAAGGGTGATGATTGCCTGATGAAGACCACTTGTGGCACTCCAGAGTACATTGCCCCCGAGGTCCTGGTCCGCAAACCCTACACCAACTCAGTGGATATGTGGGCACTGGGAGTCATTGCCTACATCCTGCTCAGTGGCACCATGCCCTTTGAGGATGACAACCGTACCCGGCTGTACCGGCAGATCCTCAGGGGCAAGTATAGTTACTCGGGGGAGGTGAGTGTCCTTCCCCTATTCAGGGGATGTCGGGGAGGCTTTTGGTGGGGAGTATATCCTGCAGCTCTCAGGGACATGCTGTGAGGGACAGGCAGGTAATATAAAAATGACAAAGTGAGACTAGCTAAATGTTTGAGTTTCCCTAAAAGTGAGCCCTGAGATAAGGACGTGGGAGCAGATGGTTTATTTATAGCAGATAGTTTTTGATTCCTGTAACCACAAGTGAAGGAATGGGAAAGGGAGACCACCAATAAAGAGTACATTAACAAGTGCCCTGCCATGACCAGGTGCAGTGGTGCCTCATGCCTGTAATCCTAGCACTTTGGGAGGTTAGGAGTTCAAGACCAACCAAAGCAAGAATGAGACCCCATCTCTAAAGATAGCTGGGGTGTTATGGCAGACACCTGTAGTCCCAGTTGCTTGGGAGCTTAAGGCAAGAGCGTCAATAGAGCCTAGGCATTTGAGGTTACTGTGAGTTATGATGATGCCACAGCTCTTTACCCAGGGCAATAGAGTGAGACTCTGTCTCAAAAAAAAAAATTTTTAAACATGTGGGTGGCTGGGTCAGGTGGCTCGCGCATGTAACCAAAGCACTCTGGGAGGCTGAGGCAGATGGATAGCTTGAGCTCATGAGTTTGAGACCAGCCTGAGCAAAAGCGAGACCCTGTCTCTACTAAAATTAGAAAAACTTGGCTCAGCACCCGTAGCACAGTGGTTATGGCACCAGCCACATACACCAAGGGTGACAGGTTTGAACCCAGGCCGGGCCAGCTAAACAGCTGCAACCAAAAAATAGCCCGGCGTTATGGCGAGTGCCTGTAGTCCCTGCTACTTGGGAGGCTGGGGCAAGAGAATCACTTGAGCCCCAAGAGTTTGAGGTTGCTGTGAGCTGTGACGCCACAGCACTCCATTAACGGCAACAAAGTGAGACTCTTATTTCAAAAAATAAGATAAAATAAAATTAGAAAAACTGAGGCAAGAGTTGGAGGTTGATGCCATTGCAGCTCTCAGGATGACAGCTTGAAACTCTGTCTCAAAAAAACAAAAAATATTGGGGGCCAGGCGTGGTGGCTTACACCTGTAATCCTAGTACTCTGGGAGGCTGAGGTAGGTGTATTGCCTGCGCTCACAGGTTCAAGACCAGCCTGAGCCAGAGCGAGACCTCATCTCTAAAAATAGCTGGGCATTGTGTCAGGTGCCTATAGTCCCAGCTATTTGGAGGCTGAGGCAAAAAGAATCACTTGAGCCCAAGAGTTTGAGGTTGCTGTGAGGCTGTGACATGGCACTATACCAGGCACTCTACCAGAGGGCGACGAAGTAGGACTCTGTCTCCAAAAAAAAAAAAAAAAAAAAAAAAGGCAGTGCCTGTGGCTCAAGGGAGTAAGGCGCTGGCCCCACATGCCAGAGGTGGCGGGCTCAAACCCAGCCCTGGTCAAAAACTGCAAAAAAAAAAAAAAAATTGAGTGCTGGCCCCATATACCAGAGGTGGTGGGTTCAAACCTGGCCCCTGCCAAAAACTGCAAAAAAAAAGAAATCATGTGGACCATACTTCAATTATACCACTGCCGTGTTTTTTATTTTTATGTTTATTTATTTATTTATTGCAATTTTTGCAATAAATACTCCTTTGAGCCACAGGTGCCACCCTGTTTTTTATTTTTCTTTTTTCACCTGGGAATTTATTTTTATTTATTTTTTTTAAATTTTTTAAATTTATTGTTGGGGATTCATTGAGAGTACAAGAAACCAGGTTTCACTGATTCATTTGTTAGGTAAAGTCCCTCTTATAATCATGTCTTGCCCCCCAAAGGTGTGGCACACACCAAGACCCCATCCCCTTCCCTCTGTCACTCTCTTCTACTCCCTTCCCCAGTCCTCCCTCCTTCTTCCTCTCTCTGCTCACCCCTTCCCCTTGTCATTCATTGTCCTCATATCAAAATTGAGTACATAGGATTCATGCTTCTCCATTCTTGTGATGCTTTACTAAGAATAATGTGTTCCATTCCCATCCATGTTAATACAAAGGTTGTAAAATCTTCATTTTTTTAATGGCTGAATAGCATTCCATGGTATACATATACCATAGCTTGTTAATCCATTCCTGGGTTGGTGGGCATTTAGGCTATTTGCACATTTTGGCAATTGTAAATTAAGCTGCAATTAACAGTGTAGTGCAAGTGTCCTTATGATAAAAGGATTTTTTTCCTTCTGGGTAGATGCCCAGTAATGGGATTGCAGGATCAAATGGGAGGTCTAGCTTGAGTTCTTTGAGGGTTCTGTATACGTCCTTCCAAAAAGGTTGTATTAGTTTGCAGTCCCACCAGCAGTGTAAAAGTGTTCCCTTCTTGCCACATCCACACCAGCATCTGCAGTTTTGAGATTTTGTGATGTGGGCCATTCTTGCTAGGGTTAGATGGTATCTCAGGGTGGTATTGATTTGCACTTCTCTAATAATTAGGGATGATGAGCATTTTTTCATATGTTTGGTTTTTATGTTTTTTTAATTCACTTATTCCTGTACTTCATGGGTTGAAAATTTCTTTGGGAGCATTAAATTCCTGGAGCTTCTCGGCTATCCTGAATGCCAGCTAATCCTGGAGAAATGTCCTCCAGCAAAGAAGCAGAGAGATGCAGGCACTGGCAGTGGGAAGCTGTCTGCCACAGAGGCGAGTGGGCTGAGTGGACGTGGGGCAGGGCCTCCCAGCATCTGCTCCATGAGGCCTCAATCAAGCCAGAGTGAACATGCTCTGTCTCAAGGAGCAGTTGCTTCTCATCTCTGTCAGCTTTTCCACACAATACCGAGGATCCCGTGTGTCCAGATATTCTGACTTTTTTTTTGAAAGAGAAACCAGAAAATCTGATCTTTGAATGTTGGAATGTAATTTACTATGTGCCAAGAAATGCTAACCGGTGGGCCAGTTTCAGCCACCAAGCAGGGTATCTTTTGTGTCTTTAGATTCATTTATAGTCCTGATAGCTGTAAAAATCTTTTAAGTTTTTTTTCTTTCTTTCTTTCTTTTTTTTAATTGAATGGTAACTATGTATATTAATGCACTTCTGGGGTACAGTGTGGGGTTTTCACACACAATCCGAAACCAATCAAACTGGTTAACATAACCTTCATGTCATTTTCTTAGTTATTATTTTAAAATGTTCACATTCTACTCTTAGAAAGATTCACTTGTACCCTTATAAGATAAACCTCAGAAGTGATCCCTCCAAAAATATCTTAAGTTTTAGCAGTACTGGCAGCTGAAGGAATGTACAGAAAAAGTAAGACTGGCTGGTCCTTAGGAAGGATGCTGACTAGTTGGAAGACAGGCTGACTGCAGGAAACAGCAAGTACTGGGAGCTGGGGCAGGATGGTGTGCTCCTTGGGGAGGCCGTGAAGAAGAGGATGCATGTCCCTTTATGTGGGAAGTGAGGAAGCTTTGTAGGATGACAGGATTCTGCCAAGGCAGTGAAGGCCCCCTCTCTGTGGGCCCTCTCTCTCCCAGGGTGCTCCCCACAGAGTGCTGTGCTCAGGCCTGGGTGCTATCTGCCAAAGTGCTATCTGTGTCTCTTAGGTACGTATGGAGTGAAAAGTGTTCTGAGATCAGTTCCCTTCTGCAGCCCAGCTTGCTTTCTGGGGCTTTGGGCTCACTGTTTCGCCCTAGCCAGCTGACCAAGCCAGCATTTCCTGCAGGTGTCACCCAACAGCCTTACACAACTTTGCCATCGGTGCTTAAGGACCTGTCTGTGGGGTCTGTCAAGGACCTCTTCCTAGGGGGATCTCCAGGTCATGTACCTCAGAAGTTGTATGAGGAAGGGAGGCAAGCTGTCTTCTTCAGGCCAGCTGTGTTATAGGCACAGGGGAGGGTATGTGTTTGCACCACTCTTAGGAGAGGGGTGGGTAGAAGTACACTAACTAGGACCTGTGGCATGGTGAAAGGGCCACCGTAGGCCACCTGGTGCTTACTGCAGAGTGGTTAGCCTTGCAGAGAGCTCAGGCCTGGCCCACTATTACTCTCAGATTTTAGGTGGACAGGTGGGTTCTGCAGAAAATCTGGCTCTCAAATTACCTACTGCACCAGGCAGTAAAGGAGACTGTGCTGGTACTGAATACAGCTTAGGAATCTAGGGAATAGTCCCTCAATACTGAATTAAAAGCCAGAAGTGCCCGGCAGTGAACTGCTTCACTTGGGACCACCATTTCAGTCTAATTAGATTTGATTCAAGGTTGAGTTAAAGCTTTGGGTTTGGTTCCCATCATCCTTAGGACAAGTGTCAGTTTTTGTTTTTCATGGAGGAGACTGGGAGGATTGAGAGGAGCAGGCACAGGTGGTGACAGAGGGGGCAATTGGGGGATGAGCCCTTGATCCTGATGTTGGCTCCCCTCAGTAATGCCCTGACATTTACTTGGTTCTCCGATATAGGTTGGCCATCAGGTTGGCACTATCTGGTAGGTATAAACTGGAGATAAGAAAGCCTGTCCCAGTGTCCTGGGATGTAGTCAGAAAAGCATGGCTGGGTGCTGGCAGGGACTTGAAGGAGGTGCTGCCTCTCCTTCCAAGGAGGCCATCTGGCTGTGAAGTGAGTAGCTGTTAAGTGGTTATCATTAGGTCCCATTCTAGTCATATTTGACCTCACTTCCACACAGAAAAGTTAAAAAGAAATCAGGACTCTGCCAGTGAGTTGTGGAGGCCAGTTCTTCTCATACTGTAAATGTTCATGCAGATCCCATGGGACCACATTAAAACATAGATTTTTTTTTTATTTTGAGACAGAGTTTCACCCTGTGCCCTGAGCAGTGTGCAGTGGTGTCATCATAGCTCACTGCAAGCTCAGTGCAACCTCAGACTTGGTTGTGGGCATCCTGCTGCCTCAGCCTTCTGAGTGGCTGGGCTTACAGGTGCACTTCATGATGCCAGCTAGGTTTTGTTTTTTTTTTTTTGTGGAGTCAGGGTCTCACTCTTGCTCAGACAAGTTTAGAACTCCTGAGCTCAAGCAATCCTCCTTCC